TCTCTCTCCCCTGTGCACTCCACACAAAGTCCCAGGCTGACCATCCATGCGCCCCAGGCTCAGGGCAGCTGGCAACCCTGCTGGAGGTTTCATGCGACCTATTCATCCGTTATGACAAAGCAGCCCCTGAAAAGACGAAGCGCGCTCCCATCGTGTGCTGGCGCCTGGGCACATTCCACTTCCACTGGTAGCTGCACCAGGGGGGTCCAGGGCTCTGGCAGGCAGCTTAGCAGAAGCATCTGTGGGCCCCAAGCAGGCCTGCTGGGCGAGCTGACGGCAGTCAGGACCTCAGCCCTAGCACTGTCCCCATCACAGTTCTCAGCACCACCAGAAAGCTCTGTAGTGCCTCTGCCCTCGCCTCACTCTGCTTCACCAGAACTTGCATCTCCGAATTCTCCGTCTCATGCAACAGCTCCGCAAGAAAAAGACAGCCAGCATCATCCTGGGCGCTGAGATAGGCTTTCCATGGCTGGGCACCAGCTTTGCTCATAGCAATTGTCTGGATGTGGACAACCTGCAGCGCGGTCTGTAGGGTGTCAGGGTGAGCAGCTCCATGCCAGGACAGGGCCTGCTTGCAGCTCACATCCAGACTCAGCCAGGTCTTCTCAAACTGCTCGGCAGACAGATGCGCGTAGGGGATTAAGGTGAGGCTGCTGGAGTCGGGATGGACTTCGAACACTTCTTTATTGCCCTCCAAAATCAGTGGCTCTGAAATGAAACAGGAATGGGTGAGGAATGGTACAGGCAGCACTGCTTCCAGGACGACCAGGAGTGTCCAAGGGGCCCACCAGACACAGAACCCCAAAGTTGTACCACGTCCAGTGTCCCCACAGCCTGGCGCCCAGCCAGAGCTCTAGGATCTCCCCAGGGGTAAAGCACAGCAGATATGCAATCGAAAAGGCAGCTTACCTGACGAACTCGCCGTCACTGCTCTAGAGGCCGAGGGGATGGCAGAGGGAGACCTGGCACAGCGAGGCTCTGCTGCCCAATCAGCTGTGATGACTGCCCAGCGTGCCTTGCCGTAGATGGGTGCCAGCGTGTTGAAGTCCGAGGCCCATGTGTTCACAGACCGCTCAGCCTGATCCTCCAGCAGCCCCAGGGAGGGATCAGACTTGGGGCTGCACAACACCCGTTTCACCTCTTCCACCCCAGCTTGTAAGAGACGATAGTAGAACAGGCCACGGTCCCGCACGGCCATGTCTGTCTCCTCCTCTAGGGACAAGAAAGACACGATGGCAGGGGGCACCAAGGCTCACAGAAAATGCTCTGGGCCTCGACAGATGAGCCAACTGTGTTGCTATCAGAGAAAACATGTCGCTGCCCTTTGATGAACCTCCCTCGGTCGCCATCTGCAGACAGGGTCACCCACTCATGGGGGCTGACAGCAACAGGCATAGAAAGGTGATGAATAAGAGGAGAAGAGGCAGAAGGGCAACTTCTGCACTTGATCCTCTACCAGGAGACAGCCAGCCCTCATTTTAATCCTGGTCCAGCACTTTGGGTGGGGGTCACTGCCACCCAATTCTTACTGTTGCTGCTGTACCCATGGAGGTTCTCCCCAGGACCTCTCCAGGCAGGCAGCTCAGCAGCAGTGGTTGTCCCAGTACAGCATGATGCAGACAGCATATGGGAGAGCTGCTGCAAGACGTGCCTACCTATACAGTAGTACAGCAGCCTCCCCAGCATGTCCTGGCACTCAGCAGGTCGGGACAGGAAGAGCCGCACCAGCGACGTCAGCAGCTCCATCTTCACCGCTGGAAACGTCTCTGATTTCACATTCTCCACAAAGTCCTCCAGCACGTAGGGAGCGTTGGGGACCTTCTCCCCGTGCACCCCCAGCAGCCAGACCAGTGCCTGCTTGCCCTGCAAAGCCAAGCACCGCCACAGAGCACTCAGGGTTGAGCCACCCCACACAGGTATCAGGGGGATGGGAACCACCTTGCAGAGCTGGCAACCTAACGCCCGATGAATGGCCTGGCAGCAGCTGCCCACAGCCTCCTCTCCCTCTGGCAGGGTCCTTCCTGAGTCAGCTGAAGCCCAGCCCATCCCCCAGTTGCATTGCCTAGTCCCATGCCAAACAGCACCTCCCCACACTGCTCACTCCCTCAAACAGTTCTGCACCCAGCCCAGCCAGGCGCACACAGGCTCTGTTTATCGCTGGGTAACGGCCAGTGCAGATGCTACACTCTAACCGTCCTCAAACCAGCCAGTGGCAAAAGTACTGAGGGATCAGCTAGGCCCCCAATTTCTACCCAGCCTGTGGGCTGATCCGGACTGTGCGAGAGCCAGCCTACCTCGCTGTCCTGAATGATCTCCTCACAACCGGGCAGAGCTTGGCATACAGCCTCTGTGCACTGGGGACACAGCCACACCAGGTCCCGGAAAGCCTGCACCACAGCTGCAATGGAACAGCATGCTCAGCATCTCCCCGCAGCTTAAACATCAGCAAGAAACCAACCCCCTGGAAGGCTGGGCAGCCTCAATGCCAGCCAGGCTGGGGTGGAGGAAGCCACCACACCGCTCCCTCTGGGAATGTGGAGCACTTTTCTTTAAAGCCTGGTGGCACAGGCTCTGCCATAGCAAGACCCAGAATACACAGGGCTGCAGTGCTGGCATTTGCTGAGGCATCTGATGAAGTAAGGTCGGGCTCAGGGAGCTTATACCATCTCTAAGAGCTGAGACCAGAAGGGCCAATGAGAGCACGTCAAGGTCAGTTTCATAGTTGGTTGGGTCGGAAGGGACCCGAGCAGATCATCAAGTCCAACCCCCTGCCATGGCAGGAAAGAGTACTGGGGTCAAACGACCCCAGCAAGGTGTTCATCCAACCTCCTCTTAAAGACCCCCAGGGTAGGAGCCAGCACCACTTCTCCTGGAAGTTGGTTCCAGATCCTAGCCGCCCTGACCGTGAAGTAGCGCCTTTGGCTGTCTAGCCTGAATCTCCCCTCTGCCAGCTTGTGACCGTTACTCCTGGTCACTCCTGGCAGTGCTCGGGGGAACAGGGACTCCCCCAGTGCCTGCTGGTCCCCCCTGACTAGTTTGTAAACAGCCACAAAATCCCCCCTCAGCCTTCTCTTGTGGAGGCTGAACAGGCTCAGGTCCCGTCGCCTCTCGTCGCAGGGCTTGCCCAGCTGCCCCCTGACCATGCGGGTAGCCCTCCTCTGGACCCTCTCCGTGTTGTCCACATCCCTCTTGAAGTGCGGCGCCCAGAACTGGACGCAGTACTCCAGCTGCGGCCTGACCAGTGCCGCATAGAGGGGGAGGATCACCTCCTTGGACCTGCTCGAGATGCATCTGTGGATGCATGACAAGGTGCGGTTGGTCTTCCTGACCGCGTCCCCACACTGCCGGCCCATGTTCATCTTGGCATCAATGATGAAACATGGGCCGGCATGCTGACAAAAACTTCTGACCTTTCTAAAATGTCTCTTTGCATCTGCTCTCCGTCTGAGTCAGCAGGGGATGGCCCAAAGGCTTAGTCCACATCACACCATGGGAGCAGCCATGACCTGTCCCCACGACTCTCAAGGCACTTATCTAAGGAGGGAGAAGTTATGAAGCCATCCCTGCCCCCACCCTTTGACCAAGGAAATCTCTAGGGACACCTATTTTGTTTGAAACCTCAGCAAGCTGTGGCCAGCAGGACGGGGCTTTCCCAAAGCCCAGCCTAGAGGTGGAGCCATTTCCTGAAGGTGGGGGGGCTGGCAATCTCCTTGACACAACCAGCAGCCAGGAGTTACCTGAAGTGATGTGCTCCTGCTTGAGGCCCAGCAGCTCTGTCAGAATCCCCACGCACTGTCCCGTGTACGTCCTGGCAATGCTGCCTGGAAAAGCGCCACAGGGAACAAGCCAAGCTCTGGTCAGAGACACAGCCCCCAGTGTTCAGGCTACAAGCTCTCTCTCAAGCAAAACACTTTTGGTTCTGAATGTACTTGTGCCTGACATTAGTCAGCAGGCTCTAGTCCTCACCTGGGCTAAAAAAAAAACTCTGGGAGAACCCTGCACTTCTGTTCAGAACAGCTGAGAGAAAAGACAGGGATGGTAAAGGGAAGCTTCCCCTTTGTTGTCCTGAAGGCATTTTACCTTAAAACCTTCAAATGCAAAAACAGGGTCCCTGCAACCCACCCTCACCTCTGTCCCCACAGCACCATCCAGAAGAACCAGACAGTAAAAGAGAAGCCCACAAGGCCACCATGCCAACTGACTGGGAATCAAGTACTTTGGGGTTGCTAATACAATCCATCGACCACACACCTTCTGAGGTCCCCAAGCCCTCCCCAGCTTCCCAGGGTGGGGAAAGGCACGCAGGGCTTCCAGGGGCGCCCCCAGTTCAGACAGGATCCACACAGCCTGTGCTGAGGACCATGCCCACGTTTCTGGGAGATCTGGCTCATTCTGGGTTCAGTGCTTGGACACAGCTCCAGCACAGAGCACTCATTTGGTGCTGGCCCAGGCTCACCTCAGCTAAAGGCGACTCATCTTTCTGAGAGACTTGAGTGAGGTCTCAGCTGCTTCAGAGACAAAAAGAGGACTCTTACCTATGGCAAAGATGGCCCCTTGGGCAAGTTCAACAGACACATCAGTGCAGTAGCCCTTCAGCTCCTCCAGCACCTGCTGCATGTTCTCATCATTAACCAGTTCACACAACACCTCCATCTTCTGGCACTTGATATAGTGGGGCTCTGAGTAGGAACAGAAGAACTTCTTGTAATGGCTGCTGAAGTGGCCAGGGAGGCTTCCGAGAATCTGCCGCACGTGGCACAGGGCAGTGAAGCACAGCTCCCGGCTCTCGGAGGTGCAGGCAGCCAATAGCGGCCCCTTCACCCTCACCAACACGTCCGTCTGCACGTGTGGGTACTCGCTGGCCAGCACCAGGAAGAGCTTGGTGGCTGCCATCACAACGCTGGGACTGCTGCTCTTGAGATACCCATCCAGCAAGTTGAGGATGTTGAAGAGCTCCTCATCGCTCCGGGGCCTGTAGCGCAGAAGAAAGGCCAGCACCTCGCTCTGTCCCCACTGGTCTAGGTCAGCCATTCTGCCAAGGAAAGAGCACAGTAAACAGCCTGTGGCAGATGAGGGCAGCACAGAATCATGTGAAGTCATACAGTGAAATGAGGGTCACCCCAGGACAGCACAGGGGCTGCAACCGCTGCTTCTAGGATGATTTCAGTTCCAGTTCAGGTGCCAGAATTGCAGAAGAAGATACTAAGTTTGTCTCTCAAAAGGAGCTAAGTAACTTACACAGGTCGCAGATGAACTCCCTCCCTCCCTGTGTATTTGTTCCTTCCCCCAGGCAATGGGCCAGAAAGAAACCTTGATGGGGTCCCAGGGCAGCACAACAGGGAAGAGATGCCACCATCTCTTTCCACTGCTAGTTTTGCAACTAGGACTCCAGGCCGGAGGTCCTGTGTGAGGAGAAGCAAATTTCTTCAGGCAGTGGATATGACCTCCACCGCCTTACATGCATGGAGATGTAAATGAGACAGACAGGTTAGAACGCAGGAGGTCTCACAGATGCAGCCTGTGTGCTGTCAAGGAAAACACAAGCTTCCTGTAAAAAAAATGCTGCTCTCTAGTACGACTTATAATGACCAACAGATGGTCACAAATTTTCCCTGGACTTTGCAAGCCAAAGGTTCCCTGTGTCACTAGCATGGCAGGGCATGGTCTCAGATTTCACGTGTGACCTTAGCTTCAGCTTACCCTGGTCCCTTCTAGAATGGGCACCTACGTGCTGCTGCTCCCAGCTATCTCCCACACTGAACCTCCCCAAGCTGACAGCAACAGGGTGCACCTGTTCTCTCGTGTAGCAAGTGCAAGAAGATCCCACTAGGGTGAGGCTCCCAGCTTTGCACAAGTCTGAGGGAGAACAAACCTGTTGAGGAGGTGATGGGCAATGGGCTTGTTGATGACGACTCCTCCCTCCTGCCTCAGAATCTCCTCCAGAGCCCGCAGGCAGTTCACCACTACTATGGGATCTGGGTCACGAAGCAAACTGTACAGTTCGTTCACCAGCGCACCATCTGCAAGGAAGCCACAGTGAGGACAGCAGAGACCCAACTGCTGGGTCCATTTGGGTGATTTAGCCAGAGTCCACAAACAGAAGGGCCATAACAAAGGGCTCGGGAATGGTGAATAACAAAATTTGCAACCCCATCTGGCTTTCTAGTAGCATCTATATATGACACAGCCTCGGCCTACCGAGCCCACCACCACAGAGGCAGATCACAGAGCCCATCAGGTGCCAGAGGCAGCAGCTCAGACATAACACAGAGAAAGGCAGAGGAGAAGAGCTCCAGGCTAGTAAAGAAAAAAAACATGAAAGCACCATTGCTTCAAGGAAACTCGCTCTGCCAGCCTGAGCTGCAGGAAAGGCCTGAGAAGAAAAACCCTTTAAGAATTTGCCTTTGGTTCACAGATAGCTTGCCTGTCCCTCCTGGGATCTAAGGTCAAAACACAGGCCAGATGGGAGGCCCCGACTCCCTGTCCAAGGTATGTGAACAGGCTGCGCATTCCTAATAGACTAAGTGCCACTCTCCCTGCCCAGCACATGTGATGATCACGTATCACCATGAGCACTCAAGCGAGTCTGAGAGCTTCACAAGTGCGGTAAGAGCTTCCTACCAAACAAAGCTGGAGTGTGGTGTTGTCTAGGAACTGTTTTAGCTCAACAGTCTAGCTCCCTTTCAAGGTGTTTTGCTCTCTTGGGACTCTCCCAGTTTTAGGTTATTTTGTTATGCAATTGTAAGCTGTTGGGGTCTTTGCTGGAAAAAGACAACACAACCAGGAAAAAACATACAAACAAACGGGGAGTTGAAACAAGCAAACAGGGAAACCCTCCAGGCTTACCCACTTCAGAGTCCCCTTGGAGGCTCTGCATCTTCGCACAGCCGAGAACCGCTACCCTGCGCACGTAGGATGCTTTGTCCCGCAGGCCGTTCAGAAGGGGCTGCCGGATGTACTCCTGTATGCCGGGCACCCTGGGGACCAACGCACAACACCCTGGATCCCGCAAGCCACTCCGGGGCACTGTGGCACGTGAGCCTGCTTGCACGGCAGGGCCGGGGCTGCTCTCAGGGAGCCCTGCGGAGGACGCCCCTGCAGCTCATGGCACCTGTCGCAGGTGGCTCCGGCCTGTAGCCGGCCTTGCAAGCGCCTCATCGCCCAGCCCCGCGCGCACTCCCTCCGTCTTGAGCAGCCACGTGCGCAGAAAGCGCCCACCCCTGCACACAGGTGCTGCGTTACCTGGAGCACACGCGGACACACACACATGCGCTCGGGGACATGCGTGAACATGCGTACGCCCAGGGCAGGCAGGAGCACATGCACACACCCATGCACACTCAAGGACACATGTGAACATGCACACACCTGGGGGCACACATCCACGCACACTCAAGGACATGTATGAACACACGCACGCCCATCTGGGGACATGCATGAGAACATACATACTGACGTGCACTCAAGGACACATGAACACGCACACCCCCCGGGGGGCACGCACGAGGACAAGCACCCAGACACGCCTCAGGGCAAGCGTGAACATGCACACGCGGGGGCAGGTGCGCACACGTGCACACGGCCGTGGGGAGGTGTGAGCACACACGCGCACGTGAACACGCCCCGCGCACCTGAGTCCGCAGAGTCCGCGCAGCGCCAGGCCGCGCAGCAGGGGGCTGGGGTGCGCGCAGTCGGTGCGCAGCGTGTTGACGGCCAGCAGCGCGAGTTCGGGCTGCCCCTGCGCGTGGGCGCCCACGTACAGC